TTATAACAATCTTACCAAATTCTTCCATCTTAAATACCAATCGTTTCCTAAACCTCGCATGCGCCCAACTCATCATCGTCCGAACTGTCCTATTATTAAGTCTTCTTCCTGCCGGCGTCGTGACATTTGTGTGATATCAAATGTCGGCAATACTATTACATCAAAAGTATGAGCCAACCGCAATGCAGTTTTTTTGTGTACTTCATCCACTAAATTTTGGATTCATTTTTTTAAGCGAGCTTGGGCTTGTTTTATAGAGTTACGCTTCTTTTCTGGTGCTCTAGTGATGTGTGAAATAAGTGCATCCAGAGAAAGACAGAGACGTATAATACGGTTAATATCATTGTCGCCGAAATTGCCATAGCCGACTGTGGGTGAATACCATGTAAGAAAAGTTCGGACACCAGGATCAATGGATGCAACATGGATTTCTTGCTTGATTCTCACGGATAGACTTTCCGTACACCCATATAAATGTCCCAATTTCCTAATTTTCTCTCGTATATTAATTTTGAGTCCATTGTAACTTTTCCAGTATCATTCGGCCAACAATGATTGTATCTTCGAAATTCGTGATGAAATGGTGGTTTTGCTAAACCTTCGTATCCGGATCACTAGCAAGAAGAAATTATTATGTAATAGCCTTAGATAAAAATGAAGTGATTCATGGCAGTTCTGGGCACGAATAGTAATAGTTTGGCGATCATCTTTTTAGAGACAAAATGAAGTATCGGTATGTTGTAAGGATCTTGACTTTTTCTCTTTCGATTTCTTGCAATGACTTCATCTCTGGCCTGTATATTGAAATAGCATGATCAAGCACCTTATATGACACCTTTTTCATAAACACCTATTCCTTTGTGTATCTAATTTTCAGCCAAAGAAACACTCTGAAAAAAATTGTTTGTAGTTCTATAATACTGATGGTAATTAATTACTACGTATCATGTTATAACCAATCTAGCATACAATTCATCCACGATCAAAGCAAGATCTTCTGAGAAGAATTAGAATATATTTGTACTTTTAGGATACATTCGTACTTTTAGTGATTTGCTTTCTTTGCTCTCTTGACTTGTCACGTTGTTTGCATTTTCTTCCTGTGTTTTTTGCTTTTTGTCTTGTTTCCGTTCTTGTTTGTATCTAAAAATAAGTGATTTAGATAAAAGAAAGTGCAAATAAATAATTTACCTAACAGATTGTTTTTCATATAGTCAGCAAATGAAGACAATGTTAATGACAAGGATATCCTGAAATAGTTTCCATTCATTGGATTATTATTTGAGAGAACCACGAGTCTTGTACTATTAAGGTGGGAGATAAAATTGATAAGATTGTTATAACGTCGGTGTCAGAAACATACACAAGCAAAACGTGCAGCTATTGTGGATACATCAAGAGGAATTTGGGTGGAAATAGAATTTAGGTGCGACGCATGTGGGATTCGGATTAATGGGGACTTAAAATGGCGCCCGGGGAATTTTTCTCCGGGCATTGCTTGATGGATCCTTAGTTATGTAATATAGCTATGCTAATTGATTATAATTGACTACGTTTAGCTATAGTTGATCGATTCAATCCATCCGCCACGAATGCGTATACGTAATTCTTTATCGAACTATTATATTATCACATATCTAATATACGACTACTTGCACCACACTGATCGATTGAATCGAAAACGTCTTCCGCATCCATACCCCAATTATTCTCTTCACAAGATAACCATAACCATCCGTAGTCATGTGACTGATATAAAGTAGCTATGAATAATTACAGTTAACATTATGGCATAAATGAAAGTGCCAATACGCATAAACTTACATGGAAAAGAGCTCTGATGTGTGCTCATCTTACAATTGGAAGGAAGACCTTGTGGTTTTGAAGTTTGTGGCGTGTTTATGATTCCATATTCTCCTGGTTTACTAAATATATACAATAATTGAATCTAAATAATATAAATTATTAATAAAGAAAGAAAAAAATAAATACTCTGATTTATTTCGTAATTCTTGCATGCTCTTGGTTGTAGTCAATTCTCCAAAACTGTATTGTTTTTGTAATTGATCTTGTGGTTGCTTTGGAATATAATAAGAATGTCGTCGCTGAAACTCTTCCTCTTCTTTTTTATTATTTTTCTTTGACTTCCAAAAAAGAAATGCACCATAATTTGGTACAACAGAAGACATAACTTTCTTTGATGGTTTCAACCAATCTTTTTGGATATGATCGTTATTCGTATTATTGGAAGAGTAATAAGGTTCCTTGTATTTCTTATACCAAGCTTTCTCAGTCTTTAAGAATCCTTGTTCCAATCCAGGCTGCTGGAAGATTGTATCATTGTAATTGATCACACGTTTCAAATGCGTTTTTGTGAATTTACGATATGGTTTCGGATGAAGCATGTGTGTGTGCCATCCTAAATCGATATCCAGCGTCGGAACAAGAACCAAATTTGGTTCTCTGCGCATCAGACGTAAGAATTTCTGGTACCGTATAACAACATTCGATAAGACTTCGGGCTTTTGAATCCAAGCTGAAGCTGGCGCTGCTGCTACCGCCACGTTAATATCATTATCAGCAACCATCTTATGTGTGAATTCACGTTGCTGTAACACTGCACTGACGAGATCAATTGAAAATGTCGATGTAATACCAGCATACGACGAAATCATTCGTTGCACGACACCTTTTCGAATGTTCGTGAGATTCCATTGCCGCTTCAGCTCTTCCATTCGCAGTTCTAGTGCGTTGGTTATTATTGACCATTGGCATTGTTTCGATTCTAAGCGTTGAACAGCAACTAGTTGGACAATGTATTGACTAGTCACGTCGAATAGTAGATCGCAATCTGTTTTTGTGGATCTATTGCATATTTCACCGGTTCTGATGTCGACTAATGTTCCGCTATTTTTAATAATAAAAAATATATCTATTAGAGAAGTTTAAATGAATTAGAAATCATGAGTCATACCTAATGTATTGCTTCCGAGTAGTTGTATCACTAAAAAAAAAAGAAAATTTAACAAAATGCATTATCAGAATGAAAATATTTTTACTAGCAAAAAAAAAAATACAACGAAATCCATATTCAATACATACAAATATTCCAATCCTCCTTTATTACTTGTCATCCATTCTGCCACATCATCTAAAAATCTCTTTGCACTAATCGAATCTTGTGATAATAAAGCACCACAATGAAAACACTTTTCAACGTGGTCTTGGGTTCGCATTAATTTTACATAATTCTTGCTATTAATTGTATACATTATGTCCTTAGAAATAATTCAAATGCTTTAATAACGATAATGAGTTGTAACAAATAACGAAAAAAAATTACACAGATAAATGCAACGGTATCGCACACCAAGGACAATCAAATTCGAAATCTGAGTCGTCAAATGGATCGAGTACCCATGACTTGTCGGTATTTTGTTCCCATATTTGTTGGGACCGTTCGTGTATATGCTCAGGGCTCTTATCCCAAAGTTCATTCTGTTTTTTATTTTGCTTGATTAGCAGGCGGCCCAGATGAATTGAAAATCCGAATAAACTTTAACAAACCAATTTTCTTAGTGGAAAGTTGTAATTTACAGAACGACCAAAACCCAAACGTTGTGCATCTTCAAAGTAATGAAGCGGCGATAGACAATGTGCATGCCATATATAGCATACATCTTATACATGTACATGTACATGATAACGATAACGATAAAATTAGTGTTAGCGTTACGTAGTTGATTAATTATCGTTATCGTTGTATAGCGATAAATACCAATACAGTACCTAAAGGAGGAAGAGGTGGACTTGAAAATTTTCCTTGCTCTAGTAAATTCAACCATAACTTGTATCTTTCTTGCGCACGCAATAAATAACACATATCAGCTTGATAGTCTGGTTGCTCTAAATCTTTAAACTTTTTCAATACTGTTAAATATGCATGTAATTTATCTGTATTTACAATATCTTCCAAACTGAATCTAACTTTTGTGGTTTCTTCTTGTTTTGAAATCATTGGTGTTGTTTCTTTTCCTAGCATCACTGAATTTGCTGAAATAGGAGATTGTAGAGTTGGCGGGGAAGATTTCAAATTGGAATTTGAGAATACTTTCCTTAATAGTCGATCTTGCATTTCTGGTGTTTTGCGATCTTGTTTCTCTTCTGGTTCTTTTGTTTCTTTGACAGTTAATCGTTTCAATTCTTGCCTCTTTCGTTGTTGCTCTTCTTGCACTTGTGCTTCTGCTTTTAAATTAGGAGTGGTTGCTCTTCTATATAATCGTCCAATTGCTTTTCGCGTATTCGAAGGATCCAAAAATTCACGACTTTTATTCGTTTTTAAAGTTTCATTGGTATTTTCCGAAATTGAACCATTCCTATTTATTAATCGACGATGAACGGTTGACGGGAATCTAGCTAATAATCCTCCATTTAATCCTTTAGCATCTTCGGACTGCGTTATAACATTTGTCATTTTTGTATTTATATGAGACGAAGAAATCTTTCCATCGTTCAAATGGTAGCTGAAATCTTCGTCGTAATATTTATTATGATTAATATTGCTATTTGTAGGGTTGTTGAATAGTGATTCACAAATATCTTGATCTTGATTATTGGAATTGTTATCGAATAATGATCCAGAGAAAAAATTTTTTATTAATGATGTTCGCTTGGTAGAAGGAAACGTTGAATTTTTTGATGAACTCAGGGAAGGGGGAATATAAGGATTATTATTCATATTCGTATCTATTAAAAATGACGCTGCGTCTTTTTTAAGTTTCAAAGACTACACGTTGTTCGGATCTATTAATTAAAATTTTTCGTCAATTTGTTTACAGTTACGGTTGATGTCTTATTACGGTTGTCATTGATTCTCAAACAATTATACTTTTCTTTGTTTCTGCTTCTATTTGTGCGAATTTGCGCACATGTATTTAAAAATCTATTCTACATGTATTTATATATCGATAATATAGCGATGAATCGAATTTGATTAGTATTCAGCCTTCAATAATTTCCTTTATCGTTACCGTTCTCTTTTGTGTTGTGTTATGTATACGTGTTTTGCTTACTACTATCGCTACGAAATTTTGAGGCTGAGATAAGAAAGTTAACCTTTTATAGATAATTCCCAATAATATTGACTTGCTGAACAACAAAAAATACATGTATTTCGTATATTGTGTTAGTACGTATTGTTAACGAAACTTTTTTTTGTTTATTTTTTGCCTGCATGTGTGATGGATTGATTAGCGTTAACAAACATCAAGGAATAACAAAATTCCGATACGTACTATTTAGTACATGTATAGTAAAATACAACTCGAGAAGTAATACTTAATCTAGTAACGAACATGCTGTAACAAACTAAGATGTATCAGTATTATGAAACATAAGAAATTTGACCTCCATGTAGTCACAACCTCTTTATAATCACAGTTTTTCATATTCCAACTATAGATTATGTTATTAAAATACATGTACAATACGTGTATTATGGAATTCTCTTTCATTGACAACTGGCAAATTTGTTGTTTATGATGATAGTTTAATATAAAGTATGTACAAAAATCGGTTTGTTTGACAATTTCAAAATAAATAATTTATAGGAAAACACTAAAGCAGAGTAGTGGATTAATTCAGATCAAATTGAAAGAATATACCAGTAGTGTTGCATGCAAATAAAAATACGTATAAACACAACGGTTATTGCCAGGCAACGTTTCTCTTTATAATTTTGTGTATATGTGTGTAAGGAAGGGGATAAAAAATATTAACAAGATAATTAAGACCGCAACACAAACTCACAGTTAAGTTAAAATTTTAGGACATCGTGTGTATCTCGACATCCAGTGATCCAATTCTCGCAAAGATCCCACCATTCGATTCGTCTAGTCGAGACGAATCGAATGGTGGGATCTTTGCGAGAATTGGATCACTGGATGTCGAGATACGTACGATGTCCTAAGACATACAAAATTGAAAAAATTAACTTTTTTTATTGATAATCAATTTGATAATAAATTGTTATTGTCATATAAACTAATAGCATTTAGTTGATAACAATAATAGATTATGGATTAAAATTTTTGGACTAACAAATAGGTAAAATTATCTTTTCAATAAATTATCATAAAAATTAGTAAGTGATATAAAAAGCCATATTTTAACACTAATAACCAAAAAATTCTAGGCTTTGTATTAGAATCAAGATTCATTATATAATTTAAAATAAAAAAAATTATTTAATTTTTTTATTTTGCATAATTTTAGAAAAAATCAGTTACTTTTGCAAAGCATTGTAGTTATTATGCAAAAAAGTGAATTAACTTTAAATTCTGTTAAAATTCTTATAATTAAGAAAATTAGAAAATATATAAATTAATAATTTATTAACTATTTTATAATATTATATATTTTTTTGGCTGAAAAAATTCTGATTATTAAGTTAATATAAAAATTTTTGGTCATATATTTACTAATAATTACTTTATTCTTATATAATAAATAATTTCTATTAATAATGAAAAATACTCAAATACAAAAAATTATTAATTATATACAGTAGCAATCAAAAAGAATGGAACGCTAAAACAAATTTATTAATAAAGCATAGTAAAATACGATTTTTTCTCTTTATATAAAAGTTTTCAATTTTACTAATAAATATTTTTTATTTTTATATTAAAATAAAGATAATATCA